CGTATCAATAACGACATTTTAAGAATTTTACGAATATTTTTTTGGGCTAGAGAGCTTAAGAGCACTGGCTGTTCTAGAGGTACTGAGTTCAATTCCCAGCAACCACATGGTGTCTCACAATCATCTGTAATAAGATCTGATGCCCTCTTCTGGCCTGCAGGCATACACGCAGACAGGACACTGTACACATAATAAATAAACTCTAAAAAGGATATTTTCTTTTTTATAGAGTTCCCATTCCATGATGCACAAACTGGGACTAACCGTGGCTGCAAGATGGTTAGAGCCTACACAAACAGGGCGGGGCAGCAACTCTCACAGGGGAGATCACAAGATGGTTAGAGCCTACACAAACAGGGCGGGGCAGCAACTCTCACAGCGGAACATGCTCTGACTTGATTTTCCCTTGTATCTAGCACTCACAATAAATGCTAATACACATTTTATTTTTGGAGTTGTGTATTCAAATAAATTCAATAAACAGATAAGCAGTGATATACCAAATACAGGCATTATAAATTTTCTTTTTAAAATAAATGTTTGTTTAGAATAAAATGCTGTTACAAAGACCAGAATTGGAATCTAATAAAACAATTTAATAAAACAAGGCACAATGTTTAAGGCAAAATTCATGAAGAAAGTATATAAAGTTAATATAAGATCATATTTTTTCATGTCCTTTGGGGGAAGGAGGCACAAGAATTTAAATAGTTTAAGCATTCTTTTTAGAATATTAGCCATTATAAGGTAACATAAATTTGATACAACAGGACTATATCTTTTCCAGAAAACAAACTCCATTATTAATTCACATTTCTGAGTTACATTTTAGTTATATATATACTTATACAGATATTTCTAATACATAAGACTTTAGGTACTGAAAACTAAAGAAGTCAGAGCATACATAATAATTTGACCAAAGTAGAAGTAACACTTTTCAGCATCTTGTTGGCATTTGAAGCCCCCGACTTTACAGAGAGCGAAGGTTGGTTATGCAGACAGTCTTTCCCATTGTGTTCTGTTCTAACAACACCAAATGGACTCAGAATACAACAAACCTCAGCACAAGTCTGCACATGACTGTTAGAAAGTGACCACTGGGGTCAGCACTGTTTCTCAGGAACACCGGTGCTGATCACGTTAACTGTGAGAACAGGGATTCTCAACCATCCCTGTACACAAAACCAATCAACTTACTTATGTATGGTTGCAGTAACAGCATTACCAACCTCATCCTACTTTCTTCCTCCAGCTAGAGTTTTGAATAAACAATTTTATTCAATTTAGTTATGGCCAAAAGAACAGAGTATATTCTAGTAAATGCAGACAGTTTTCTGCATGTAAATAACCTTCACTAAGCTACTAGATTTAATACACACGTAACACACACGCGAGACTGAATATTCTATCAGTTATCGAGGCTGACTAATGCTAAGAGAAAGCCTAGCAGCACCCGTCAAGACCACCTTCTAAGTGTTCAGAAGTGAGTTAGTGGAATGCTTAATTCAATCCTTAGTAAATAGAGATCAAGAAAAATGGAAAAAGAACGGTGGCACTTAAACATATTAAACTATCCCCTTCAGCCTATAGGAAAACGGTGATACAACATGCTATATACCTCAGTGACAATATTTTCCTAAGATGCTATAACTTCTCTTGTCCTTTGTGGTAGCATATACATTTAAATAAAACACTATATAAAAGATACACTTCTTTTCTGGGGGCCGGGTAGCGGTGGTGCTTGATCCTTGGTTCCAGAGGGCTCTTATCTCCTGGTACAGTATGATTAAGATTCCCTCCCCAGAACCTCCCCACCCCCCGAGAAACCAGCAGGCCTGTGGTGGCAAAGGAATCTCTCAGGATCAGACTTTCTCCTTCAAGTCAATGCAGAAGACCACACGGCCATCACTGACAATTTACCATATAATATACTTTATGTACTGTATTTTGAGTTAAATGCAAGACTTAAGGCACTTACTCTCAGACCACAAAGGATACTGCTACCAACTATACTATCAAAAAGATTACACGATGATGAAAATATAATACTACATGCTACTGAATCAATGTTACATAATATTAAATGCTTAGCATGCAGAAGATGAAGCTAACTAAACACTTCTTTTCTAAGCAAAGAAACAGAGTTACATGCTATAGGTCCCACACCTGAAGCCTACACAGCACCCTTCACCAGGGTTACACTGCCTAGCCTAACTTAAAAACGCAGTATGTTAACTGGAGAGCAATACTTAAAATGTACTTTTAGACGAAAGGCAAATCAATTAGGTAAAAATTAGGCACTTTAAACTAAATGCAGCTAAATAATTTTACATATACACTTTTACTGATAGTCATATCTATAAGCACTCATATGGGAACTTAGAGAATAAACATGTTTTTATGCAAAGAGCTACTTACTAAATGCTTAATTTGCAGTTTAAAAGAAAATAGCGCGATTCACCAAGGCTACCTGCTGTACTAGTAATGAGGCCAATGAGAAACTACTTTCCAGCTCTGGTAAGAGCAAGGGTAAGAGAAAGCCTACAGCTTGCTGGCTCTACTTTACCAGAGCAATGGAGCAGCCTCCAGCACAGGGACCAATAGAATAATAACAGTATTAAACTCAGTGACCAGGCTATCAGATGCCAGCAACAGACCACTTGGCAAGTCAATTTTAAAACAATTCCTTATTACTCAAAAGAGCTTCACTGACTTAATTTTCCCTATCCTTTGCTGCTTCTAAAGATTTGTTTTTCTTAACATTCAAGCAAGGAGCCTCTTCTTGAGCCTTCATAAACCCAGTATTTGCAGTGTCTGTCAGAACTGGTCTGCACTGACATGCTGCACTATTGAGGGTTGCCTTTAATTTTTACTTATATCACCCCCAACTTTCTCATATTTGAAGTCAATTTACAATGTATGTGTATTTTTAATATTAGTGACAAAAATTTAAACATCAAGACTTTCAGACCAGGAGGCCCCTCTGGCATACTTCTACTGAGCTGGGTCCGTGGTTTACACCTGTGACTTGAGCAGCTGGGAAGCTGAGGCAAGACTGGGCTACACACATTAAGTTCAAGGCTAGCCTGAGCTACACAGCCAGGCCCTGTCTCAGAAAATAAAATAGCTGTATTATGAAAATTAGCCCTTGCCAATTCTGAAACTCTAAGAGTTCATTAGCTGTATAAATAATGGGATTCATAACTAGCGAGACAGACTACCACTACTACAGCATTCGGCTGACTTCAGAAGATGATCAGAATTCTAAATGGCCAATTCCTATCTCACTAAGCTAATGTCTATTATCAGTTTTCTAAAAAAGGAAAAGGACGAAAAAGGAAGAAAAAAGATTTTAGCAATCATTGGCAGCTCTTGTAAAGGATAAGGCCAAAGATGGATTAAAAACAAACAAAAAAAGTAAAACAGCTACCAAAGAAGACTTCATAAAAGCTATCTATGCTAGGCGTTGACTGTAGCTTGCTTAGCATGCACAAGGCCCTGCATCTATCCCTATAAACCCAACCCCTGCCCAAAAGACAGCTACACACTGACCTGGCTCACTGTTCACAGAGTTTAACTACACATATAAAAAACTCTTCATTGAAAGAACTCCATAGGATAGATACATCTACATGCCACAGGCGGGAATATTTATATTTATGACAGATGAAACAGTACAGCTTCTCTCTAGGAAGCTGGAAAGAGTAGCATTAGATGCTCTATTTACAAGGCTATTTACAAGTAATTCCTAAAAGGCTACTCAAGCTATCACTTAGTACTAGAGGATTATCAATAAAAAAAACTAGAAGTATTTAAACCAGAAGAATAGGGTCCCATCATCTGAACATTTTCCATGAAAATATTCTATGTTGTTTAAGTAAAGTCATCTAGTTACAAAGCATTTACAAGTTTGACACTTGGGTACTGCCCAAGTGTCACTGCCTGTCCTAATCCAGCAGTCTGCAGCTTACAGCTGCATACTTGGGAAGTACAAAGACTATAACTTCTATTGTACAATTAACTATGCTAGCAGTACAAACATCACTTCTATAAACACAGGAAGAAAATTCCTAAATAAAAAATTATCTTACTACACTATTTTGAGGAAAAGGTAAGGGGACTCACTATAGCAGCGTTTCACAACTGCAGCCACGAAACTCTCGTGTTTCATGACGTAACACAAACACACACAAACCCTGAATTACCCTATAATCTACAAATATAATCTACTAAAATAAAAGCAATATATACAAGAAACCTACCATGCAAATATTGTCGGCATACAGCTGGCTTCTAACAAAGCACTCTTCAAGATCACCGGCACCCTAATGTGATCTGAACCTACTGTTAGCGCTTACCAACCAGTCTTCATGCTACTACATACAGGCTGCTTATTCGATCATCAGTATTGAGAGTCAGTGTTTCCTAATTCCAACTTAAAGTTTTAACATTAGTTTTTATTGCATAATCAACTAGCTAGCAAATCTGTTAATTTCCAATGACAATAATTTGCGTTGCTACTTTTCTCCTACACTTTAAGGATACAACATTTTAGCGTTTTCTGTCCTGTTTTATTGATATTTCTTTCTCAGTGCTCAACAGTTCTATGAGATGAACAAAATGAGCTCCACTTCTGACTATCTTCGAATAGTCATGTTATATTAATCTAGTTGTAGTTTTTCTTTCAAATGGGGAGGAATTTTTGGTTTAGTTTTTAATAAAAGCAAAGGAGACACATTTTGGTGTGGGAGAATTGTCTGTATTCTGTCAATCATGTTTTAAATAAACGCTGATTGGCCAGGCAGAAAGTATAGGTGGGAAAACCAGACAGGAAGTAGAAATGATATAATGAGAACAGGAGAATTCTGGGAAGGAGGAAGTTGATTCCTCCCACTCCTGCCCAGATCACCGAAGCAGCAGGATGTGATCTGTCTCACTGAAAAAGATACTGAGCCACATGGCTAACATAGATCAAAAAAATGGGTTAATCAAGGTGAGAGAGTTAGCCAGTGAGAGGCTAGAGCTAATGGGCCAATCAGCTTTATAACTTAGAGATTTATGTGTGATTTTTCTCTGGGACTAAACAGCTGGGGGTACCGGGCAGGACAGAAAACCCCAACAAACGAGCCAGTCCCCTTGATGGTTAAAATCCACCCCCACCCTAACCCACCCCCACTTTGAGACAAGTTTTCATGTATCTATCCCAGGCTGGCCTCAACCTCACAATGGCGCCCAGGCTAACTCTGAACTCATCTTCTGCCTCTACCTCCTAGTGCTGGTTTGGAGGTATGCACAACCATGGCCAACTTTTCTTGATTTAGTCCACGATTATAAAGCAGTTTTTCTTAGATCACTTGCCATCTAGATTTTCCTGTTGGGAAATATTATTATAGATTATTCTATCTTTTGGCAAATAGATTGATCACTCCCATAAGTGTAAAAGCCATGCTTACAAGAGATCATTGCAATTAGCAAAATGAAGTTAAGATGGTCATGGAGGCAGGTGGTGGCACGCACCTTTAATGCCGGCAACAGGAGGTAGAGGCAGGTGGATCTCTGAGTTCCTGGCCAGCCCATTCTACATAGAGTTCCAGGCCTGTAGGGCTCGGGTATTATCTACATAGTTCTTTACCTAGCCTGTTAAAGCACATTTCCAAGTGTTCTGCAGAGTGTCAGGTTGCAGGCTTTTCTGAAATCATTTCTAGAATAAGCTTCCATACCCTCGCTATGATTAAGGCACTGTAACACATCACAACTAGACTGCATATATTTAGTAACAATCACACAAAACAAGAGCTGAAGTTTAAATTCCATTTAAAAGGGATAGTTCTCACAGTACCAATTGGTTGGTCAGAAAGGCTCAAGAACGGATGACGCTCATTCTATTTACAGCCTAGTGTTCAGCACAGATCAGGACAACTCTGGAAGCACAATTGTGATGACTGACATCTTAGTCAACCCAATGGCCCCAGGTAACACCACTCCAGGCTGATTGTGACTGCTCCTCAGAGTGTACCATTCTCTAGTGTTTGATCAAAGACTTAGTAAAAATTGTGACCAACCAGCTGATGAATTCTGAACTGCCATGCAGAATAAATTACACCCAAAGAACCTAGGCAAGGAACTGGACTCTTTCTAAACAGATAGATCACTGCAACTCTTACATGGACAGTCAAGATGAAAACACTAAGGCTTCCAATCAACTTCAAGCTTCATTTTCTTTTTGAATCATCTTTGCTTAGTGTTTTAGCATTATCAACACCCACTGCTGCTCAACCAAGAAGGACCTTCTGCATCCTGTGCGCCGCAACACTGGCCTCATCTTCTGAGTCAGACTCACTCTGGGACGTGGAGCTGTGCGAGGCAGAGCTGCAGGGGGAAGAGCATTCTGGAGAACACAAATAGTGCATCAGGGGGAGGCGGTACTTCCCACAGAAGTCCACAAACTTAATTTGTCTGACACAGCAGTCAAAATAGACTCCTAGAGAGAAGAAGAATATAAATCAGTAAAAGCAAAGACGCAGTTTTTTTTCTATAAAAAAAAACCAAAAAACAAAAAACACCACCACCACCATTCTGAAAAAAGTTGAATTCCGGATCCTCCTGCCTCCACCCGTCCCAAGGGTCTAGGATTACACATGTGCACAATCACTGGGAGAGCAAAACTGACAGAAACAAGGCCATTCTACATTTATGCTGGCTCTAAATCTCTGGGTTACAAAGCTAATGATTTCATTTAGTATATGCAAAATCAAATATACTTTGGTAGATTAAAATTGGTACTTCCCTTACTTGGCTCTTCAGTGCTCCTGAACTATGACCCTTCAGTGAAGTAGAGCTACAGCCAGAGTTGAGAGGAAAGCAAGGTCACCATGTCCCAGACTCTAGCTGGTCCTTTAGGAATACTTTACACACACCAAGGCCACCCCTATGCCTGCAGTATAACCAAACTATGGAGATTTGTGCCCACTGTCTCTCTGAAGAAAAATCTCAACTTCAAGTCTGAGTTTCCCTACTATTCTCTATCCCACAATGGGCCAAAACAAAGTAATGTGGTCTAATCAAAGGAGAACTCCCCACTGACAAGACTCCCTCGCTCACCGTTTTACTAGGTAACCCAGCTGGCCTGGAACTCTCAGGATGGCCTCCAACTGACAGAGCTCCTTGCCTGTGCCTTCTGAGTGTGGGAATAAAAGCACGTGCCAATCTGGCTCCCCTATAACCCTTTATGGTTTACTACTCTGAACAACTGAGAAAGTAGATACATTCAATAGGTTTATAATAAAGCCTCATAACTAGGTTATCTCTAGTTTTCATCTCTAAGCTTTCAAACCATACAGAGAAAATGTCTCATAAATGAGATAATTTTTAACTTATAATTCATTAAGGAACCTGGGGTGGTGGGGATAGGAAAGCATGATTGATTTTATTTTACTTATTTATTGATGTTATCTGAAAATTTAAACTTGTAATTTTTAAGGCATTCCTAAGATAAACTACTCTTTAGAATACTAAAGAAGTCAATAAAAACCCGGCAAAGAGAAGAGTTCTTTTCTTTTTAGAGGGCCATTCCCAAAAGGGCAGATTCTGGCACACTGGATTTCACAGGAAGCAATGGTGTGAATGCTGCCTCTTACAAATCTTCACACCCAGTTTCAACAGTTCCTGCCTCTGCCAAAGCTACTTCAGGACAGACAGAGGTCCACAGAGGAAGACAGCAAACCTTGCTTCTGAGGGGAGTTGGCCAAACCAGCTCAGAGAATGCTTTTCTTTTTAAACCCAGCCTTTTTGTCTTGCAACAATCTTGGAGAAATTTAACTTTTGTTTTCCTCTATCACCTCTCATGTTCAGATGACCCTTCCTGGGAAAAATCTCACCTGGCTCTGACAAGGCTGTGCCACACTCTCTCGGTATTTACACCTGTCCCCATGCCAGCACCTTTCCATACTCACTAAAAACGGACTCGCATGGAAGATAGCCAAACATTTTCAAACTATTTTAAGGAATTAGAACCATTTACACTTCTCTGTGTTTCCTTTCATCTGATCATCTTACTTTCAACACCATGTTCCAAAGCAGGAAGACATCCTGGGTATTTTCCTTGTGTTTGAAAGAAAACTAGTGTGAAAATAATTTCTAAGGAAGGAGGCACAGGGGGTAAATGCCTTTGTGTGAAGACATTTTAGCTAATTAAATCAACGCTGAATCAATTTTTACAAATGGCTAAATGAGTGAAAAAGGCTAACACCAGACTCACTTACCACCACATTTTGGGTTTGGGCAATTGCTGGCTGAACCCAAGTATCTAAGGAGATTCCCAGGAAGATCATAGGGAGTGTAAGAAACACTTCGGATCTTAATGGTCCTTGCAGCTAATTCCAGAAGAGTTGGAGGGTCATATGTTAAATCCCTAACAAAACGGACAACCAATGGATTTCCTCGCAAACTCAACTCTTCCAGATGAATAAGGTTGAGGATCTCACGAGGCAGGTATGTCAGCAAGTTATTGTGAAGACTCAGGGAACGAAGGGAATGCAACCTAGAGTGAACACAATACACAAGCCAAGGGCAGCGGATGAGCGCAACAGCCTAGAAAGCTACGTTAACATACATTTCTATACATACATAACCACGTCTATGTGTGTATATTCAGGGTCTGAGCTTTCCATATGAATGAACAATTAGGATTGAGGCCAATAAAGGAAAAGAATTAAAGTGTCTAAAACAGCTCAAAATACAGCTTCACAAATGCTACCAAAGACTTTCCCTCTGGGATCTTAAGAGTACTCAAAACATTTACAAACTATTCTGAAGTCCTAACTTAAACACACACACACACACACACACACACACACACAAAATGATAGATTTAAAGACATTGAAGGGCATATTTTATTTATCACTTACACACCCGAAAATGATTTCAGGTATGCTATGAATAATGATCCTTTTCATTATAAAGCCATACCAGGACAGGAGTGCTTAACATCAAATACAAACTGCCAAGTTCCACAAGACCCAAGGAAAGCTATACCAAATATTTTTCTCTCTCTCTCCCCCTCTATATATCTATAGATATGGATATAGAGGTAGATAAATAGATATCTGTATCTAGGTATATCTAGATATAGATATATCTTTTAAAAAACACAAACAAGAAGAAAGCTGAGAGGTTGGGTCAGTCAGTAAAGTCTCTGACTTGCACAAGGATCCAAGTTCAATCCGCAGCATCAATGTGAAAATGCCAGTAAAAAATGTCAGGTGTGGTGCATACTTGTAATCCCACAAGTAACTCCCTGGGGCCTTCTGGCCAACAAGTCTAGACCAACTGATGAACTCCAGGCCAATGAAAGACCCCATCCACATGAGCATGCATACCTGTACCTACCTGCACACATACATGTACTCACACACACACAAACACAGCAAGCTGAGCAAATAACTTGGGTAATAAACCAGAACACTTATTAAAAATTACTCAGCTTAAAACAAACTTTTTTTGACTACTTATTTCTTTTCCTTTTCTTTATGAATCAAGCTGGTCTTAAGACACTCCTGTCTCGGCCTCCCTAGTTCTGATTACTGGCACACTCTTCATTCTTTCCCATACATAAGGCACGAGAGCGTTCTGACAGTGGTCCCAACCACAGCTGCCTGTGTCTAGAAGCTGAGACTACTCACTGTGAGAGCTGAGGAGGCACACTCTGGATTTTGTTGTCACATAACACCAAGTAATTCAGAGAAGGAAGATTTGCTAATTCTGGTGGGATTTCTTTAATGAAGTTTCCTCCAAGGTATAAGCATTCTAAACTGCAAAAGCAAATTGTAAAAAAGTAAATAAACACAAGATATTTCATCGCCTCCACTGTAACAGACACATTCACCACAATCTTACTCAGGATTTGCTATAAACTAGCCAGTGGTTCTCAATGCTGCAGCCCCTTAATACAGTTCCTCGTGTTCTGGTGACCCCAACCATAAATCAGTTTCACTCATAACTGTATTTTGCTACTGTTAAGAATCATAATGTAAGTATCTGATATAATGAAACTGGTCTTAGGTTAGTTATCCCTGTGATAGGGTCATTTGACCACAAAAGGGTCACCACCCATAGGTTGAGAAACACTGTACAAGGCAGTCTCCAGAGAGAGAATGAAATCCCCAGGGAGTTGATACCTTATCTTGTTAGACAAGACACATATGATTAAACCACCAAAACAAAAGGAACAGTTCAGGGCACTGAAAGAGAACAGGAAGGGTCACTGCAGCTCTCATTGGAAAAGCTTCCCAGAGTACTGTGAACCCAGCTGGGCTCTGAACTTAGCCCACAGACAGAGAAAAAGAGATTTCCAGGTAGAGGAGGGGGCTTTAAAGACTCAACAGGCACATTTGTTAACTAAAGAGAATTTTTACTGAACCCAAACAAGGCTGGAGATGCCAGATTACAGCATCACAAGATTCCAAGCTGGCATGCTTGTGTTGGATGCATTTACTAATAGACAACAGGGAAACCAATAGCCCTGCCCACTCCTGGAAAAGGGCAGAAAACCATAAACAAAGTTTCTACATAAAAGTTTTTTCCTTTGTTCTTAATAAAGTAAGTACATTCTTCAGAGGCAACCTGAATAAATTATGTAAAACCAATCATTACTATGAAGTTCAAGTTTTAGGTAAGGCTGTTTACTTAACAAAATAACATCTTAGAGGTAGGGTGCATTTATTGTAACAAAATATGACTCCATTTTCTTATGACTGCTGAAAGGCTCCAAAGGGATTTTTTTTTTTTTTTGCAGGGAGGTGGTAGTCAGCTCTTACAATATTCAAAAATAGACAGAACATACACTTATAATGCATTTGGAAGTTGCCCACTATTACTTTTGGTTTTGGTTTTCTGCTCAGAACTATCATTCTTTCAAACACTTTCAAGTAAAACATCAAAACAACAGCTTTATAGTGGGAAAAATCAGGCTACCACACTGTTATCCAAAACAGGAATTATCTGGAGGGCATTTCACTTTTTGTACATGTGTGTGCAAATGTGCATGTGAGTGGAAGCTAGAGTGAATGTGAGTGTCCTCCTCAATTGCTCTACCCAGAGCTCCCAGAGCCACCTGCTCATCAGCCTTCTCTGGTGATCCCAGCTCCACCTCAAACCATACTGCTGACACTCTAGTTTTCTTAAGATAATTCGATGGTGTAAGAAAGGTACCATTCTGAACTTTCCACCTATAGAGCTGCAGTTTACTAATTTGTGAAATTTAGTATGGTCTTTCTGTGTTCTGGCCATTTGCATTCAGAGCATTTCCTGTTCATACCATTTTCCCATGGGTTAGACATTTCCATTAGTTTGCCGAGAGCATTGCTGTTAAATGTGTTCTGCATAGCCTTGTTCCTTTGTGACCTCCTTTTGTCTGTTTTATACGTATTACAAGAATTCTTAGTGACTTTTTAAAAGGAGCAATTCAGAAGCTCTAGTTTGTCATCTGCCTTCTCACTGGATGTTAGTCTCCTACATAACCACCGCAATCCCTTGAGAGGTCTGCCATTTTTTGCTTCCAATATACAAAAAGCTACACTGCAGGCATATCAAGTTTCTGACTCCTAAAACTTCCTGTTGGAGTATTACTTAATTCATATCAAGTATTTCTGTTTCTTTAAATCCATTTTGCTTTGAAATCTACTTCCCTTGACTATGAATAATGCTTCCAGCTTTTGTTGTTGCTGTCAGCATTTACTTCATTCAATTCTACTCCTTCCTGGCCTAAGAATTAGGGCCAGTTATTTGCTGCTTATTAAATGGCATAGAATTATAAAGCACACAAAATATCCAGTCAACAAGTAATGAACACCTACCACGTGCTAGGCATCATTTCAGTCAGTCACTTGAGCTGTTGAAGAAGCACGTCTCTTAGGGCACACAGCACTTACAGGAGAAAGGGGTCAACCAGAAAGTAATGGGAGATTTTGCGATGTGAGCAGAGCTGAGTGAGCGGACTATGAGCTCCAGAGGGAAGTGACAGCTGCAATGCAAAGCTGTATGTAGCACAGCTGGTGTGGGGAGATCAGACTGCAGTGGAAATGAGGTAGTGTCAACAGGCAGCCTGGGAAGGCCAATCACAAAGCCTCACAAGAATTTTGAATATTATCCTAGGTATGATGAGTGGGTTTTAATACTTAATTTTCTGTGATTATTTACATACATGCATATGTGTGTGGTGCTCAGAGAAGTCGGACGTCATTGGATCCCCTAGAGCTGGAGTTACAGGCAGTTCTGAGGCACCAATCTTAGTGGTGGAACCTAACTCCAACCCTTTCCAAGACAGCTCTTAACAGAGTCATCTCTCAACCCTTTGGTGCATGGGGTTTAAATGAAAGCTAGCTGCGTCACTTCACTCACAGTTTAGAAGAATCACAATTAGTTGGGTGAGTGTGTGTGGCTGGAACACAGTGCAATTCCGATGAGAAGAAATGTCTTTTCACTTCTAACTTACTAAGTGTTTTTAAGGACCTTTCACGCACAAACAGGGAACAACCTGATTGCTGGTGCTAGGGTGCAGGTTCTACAACAACCTATCTCAGTTCTGCCTTCTTACTGGCACAGTTCCTTTCTTTCATTCACTTCCCCCACTGTTCTGGGTCATAAATGCTACTTCTATTTTGCTGGTAGATGTCCTTCAATTTCCTTCCACAACTGGCCTCATTATCTCACCAGTCACTGTTACTAACTTGTTCCTTTTCTCTTTAGCAGCTCTACGGTCATCCACAGTGGCTCCTACGTGTTCCTATTGTGAATGCCTGGTTCCCAGCTGGAGGTGCTAGTCAAGGTGGGGCCTCGCTGGCACAAGTGGGTCACTAGTGGCAGACCTCTCCTTCCCCAGTTCTTGCCATCTACCATGTAAGAGCCAACCTCTGCCACACATTCCATCATGAACTGAGCTGCTTCCCACGCTTCTCAACCACAAGGCTGACACTGTCTGAAACTGTGAGCCAGTTCTGTCCTCAAGTTACTCTTGTTAGGAATTCTGCTCCAGTTAAGCAAAAACAATCACCAAGGTAGCTACTAAGTGATTAACAGGCAGGCAGGCAGGCCTATAGAGTACTAAGGAAGATGAGGGGGACCAAGGAGCAGAGAGCAAGGTGGGAACCAGGGACTGGGTAGCACCTTCAAAGGCCCATTCAGGTTTTGGATGGAGCAACTCAAGATTTCATCATGATTCTCAGAATGGACTGCAACTTAAAAGTGATGAAATGCTTATTTCTAGAATTCTGCATGTAATGTTTCTGGGTCACAGTTGATTTTGAGTACCTGAAAGCTAGTAAATAAAATCATGAACAGATGTGGGAGGCAGCTGCATGTTTTTCTAAGAATTCTAATTGTGGCCGGGAGGTGGTGGCACATGCCTTTAATCCCAGCACTGGGGAGGCAGAGGCAGGCGGATCTCTGGGAGTTCGAGGCCAGCCTGGTCTACAAAAGCTAGTTCCGGGACGGGCACCAAAGCTACAGAGAAACCCTGTCTCGAAAAACCAAAAACCAAACAAAAAAAAAGAGAATTCTAATTGTGTTTCCATAAATGTTCATTTCAAAACTTCCCTTACTATTTCACTGAGAAATTTCCCCATTTATGGCCACCCATCAGATACATTCTCAGGCAAAATCAATCGCTCCCATCTATTAAATTCCACCTGCCTTTTATAAGCTTGCCTTCCCTTGCTCTGGGGTGATTCTAACAGTCAGCCTGAATCTGAAGCTGTCTTTTGTTTTAACTCTATCAATGGTATACTCTTTTCTAGTTCCCATTATGTAAAGCTTTTCAAACTTGCGATTCTCTCTAGACAAATGTTAACACTTAGAAAGATAAAGCAGACAGGCACTCTGTGTGTTTATAGTTTTCCTTTCTAAGATTACTCTGTAGCAAAAACAATACAAACCACCTGACCACCTAGACAAAGACACACTCTGGTTCTAAAGCTCATCTTTTCTACCAGTAAATATCTAAATACTAATGAAAAACAAAATCCTAGGCAGGCTGTTTTGATCCTACCAAGTCTGGGTTAATAAGTTAATGCTCAGACTCTCAGAGCACAACATGGAGGAGTTCCAGGCCGGCCAGGGCTACACAATGAGATGTCTCGAAATAAGACAGAGCAGCACAACACCAACAAAACAACAGTTTTTGGAATTCACACAACAAAACTATCCTGCAAGAGGAATTATTTTAATAAGAACACTAGTAGGGAGAAAAGTTTACCAAAGCTGGAAGTTTTTAATAAAGAATTCAACAGTGAAATGGTAGCATGCTCCAGAGCGAGGATAAACACGTACTCTTTACTTAGGTCAGCGCTATGAACTGAATGCTCTTTCCAGTGGAAACTAGTCCTTAAGGGGTGTCATTAGGAGGTAGCGGGCTCTGGTGACTGTTATCACACAAGCTCTGCATGGAGGCTAGAGAATGATCACACGGACTAGATGCCATCTGCCGGTGGCTGTTCTGACTTTGCCAGAGAAAGATCTGAAATTCTGAAATATAGCCTATGATTTTGAAATGATGCACTCATAAATCCTCTTGTGCAACTCATAGATATCACTAATCATGTCATGATCAGAATATTAAACTTACACTGTCAGAATTACTTCTCACTTTCAAACTCAAATAATTCCCAAAGCTCTAGGGACTTGAAATGTTTCAAGGATTTATGAGAATTAAACTTCTAAGCAAACATCTGTTCTAAACATCCTTTTCTGTAGTCAGAAAGACAACTGCTGAATTTAAAGCAAATCAGAGTGTTTAAAACACACTGGGGCTGAAGAG